ATCATGGTTCTTCCATATTGACATCACGAGTCTTTGTACCAAAGATCGACTTGTCATTCATAATGCAAGTGTCATTCTCAAATTTGTACTAAATGCACTTGTCACTTTCACTTTTCAAACCATGAGAGAGAATCTGATTAATCATGCCACGAATTCTGAGTCTATTTCGAATCATATAATGATTTGTCTAACCATAGACTCCAGAAGCATGTTCTAGAATAGCAACTTCTTAGGTTGTCTCATGTAGATTTCTTTATCTAAGCCACCATTCACAAAAAAAGTTTAACATCCATATGAGGGTTGTTATTCTACATATTGGTGAATAGATATAAAAGAAATCTACAATTTTCCTCTTCACCTAGAGCCTTAGCTACCAGGCGATCATTATACTCATAAACTAAACCATTAGGTTTCAGTTTTTCCTTTTTGGAATTCATTTATTACCTTGGTTTAATTGCCAGGAGGTAATTCTCAAATATGTCAAATCTTGTTCGGTTCCACCGATATATTACCCAAAGCTTTATAACCAAGAGACAACTCTACAAGATTCTAAGTCTTACTAGACTCCACAAATTTCATTTCGTTAATAATGGATTCTCCCACAATTCTGCATCTTTATGGAAGTTTGAACTTCTAGCAGACTTATAGGATCTTTCTTTCTTAGGGTGTAAATAACAAATTCATAACCGAAGTCCTTTCGTGATTTATGGTTCATTTGTCTCTTCTGAGTTCATACTCAGATTCATCACCCCACTAGTTATCCATTATTTCTAATAGTAGGCAGGAACCCCCAGTATTTCTTAATATAAATGGAATCTATTGGCATCAATGGTTTTTCACAAACTAGTGAGTATTTCGTTTCATAGGCTTATGTGTTTTACAATAACTTACACACTCATATGCTCTTCTAGTTATCATGTCACTGATTCTCTAACGCTACCACATGCATGCCACATATCGAATAATCAGTGCAATCATAATTCAACTAGGCATTTCAAACTATTTCGAATAACTAGTTAGACAATCAGAGCACTCTAAAGAGCAATAAATTATTTATTATCTTTTCGAGCAAGTTTACCCATATCAACATAAATCAGATCTATTGATTCTGATTCTCTAACCACATATTTATGGGTTATTTAACTTGGATACAAAATTCACGTGTATCTCAAGCGTTCAAGAGAAATATGGGAATGTGACCTCTGATATTCTAATTCTTCACTAGGACACATATGCCACATAAGAATTTACTTAATCATTCCTTTCGTCTAGCATAGCTAACGAATTTCAAAATATAAGATTCATTTCCACTTTCTCCTTCGATACACCTCAATGTATGATTGAGTTTAGCTCATTTATCATACACATGCCTTGAGGTGCCAATATCCAACCAACATTCTTCAGAGTTACCATTAAGGCCTACCTCTGTTATCACCTCAGTGATCATTATCATCAATTCTCTTCTTTAGTCAAGTTTACACTAGGTTAACTTGTTCTTGCACTTTCGTGCATATGACCTAGTTTCTCGCAACTTTAGCAGAGAAAAACATCGTCATTCTTAGAGGATTGACACGCTATCTTATGGTTACCACGAAGGATACCATTCTTTTTGGTGTGGATTTGGTTCAACTTGATGCTCTCATTCTTGAAACTTTAATGTTTAAGAGCAACCTTAGTGGTTCATCTGGTACTCACAACAGTACATCTTACAATATCGTCACTATGAGCAATTAACCCATTCTATTCCCATATATTCTTCGGAAATAAACTAGTGTACTTTGGTACGAAGTTTGAGAAGCCTCCTCCAAAGACCTAGTAGAGCCTTGGAATTGCCAATAGGAGTGGCTCTTCAACTTATATTTAAGCAACCAAGCGAATCCCCCTTCAGCTTTATGGAAAGCCAACTGAATCCATGCCATAGTGGCCCTGATCTTTCCTCCTACCCCAACATCCCATAAGAAATCGTTGCAGATATGCTCAACTTCAACAATCACCGTCTTTGGCAAGAGGAAGACAGACGTCCAGAATTGACAGAGACTCATGAGAACAGAGTTTACTAACTCAACCCTTCCAGCATAGCTTAGCGACTTAGCCTTCCATCCCTTAACCCTAGCCACAGTCTTGTCTATAAGGGGTCTACAAGCATAACAAAGACCTTACCAGCCACGAGAGGGACCCCGAGAGACATTACAGGCAGATAACCCAGTCTAAAACCCGAAACTTCAGCCATTCTGGTCATCTGCTCCCTGGTGAGCCCAACACAGTATAATTCACATTTCCCAGGGTTATATCCCAATCCATATAGCTTCTTAAACCTTTCAAGAACACGCTTACGCTTAACACAGTGTAAACCCGAATTTGATCCATCCGTGAAAACCAGAACATCATCAGTGAAACAAATGTGCGTTAGAGCTATCTGCTTACACATCGGTGGAAAGGGAGTTGCCCTGAAAATGCTTGACGAAATCCCTTACGAGCAGGAAAATATCCTTTCAATCCTTTTAAACACAACGCTTAACATTTGTGAAATGATGCACATCCTAATCCACTGAATGAATAAAACAGGAAACTCCATTGCAGTTAAGACAACAAGAATGAACTCCCAGTTAACAAAGTCAAAAGCCTTCATGAGATCGATTTTCAAGATACTACGAGAAGAAATAGTTGATAAATAGTACTTAGCAACTAACTCATGAGCCATCAGAATGTTATCCCCAATGACCCTACCCTACACAAAAGCAGTTTGATTATGACTAATAAAAAAAAGGTAAAGTCAGACTCAACCTCATTGCAATGACTTTAGAAATGCATTTATATACGATGTTGCAACACGAGATAGGCCTAAAAACTTTTATAAGAACCTGATTAGGAACCTTTGGAACCAGAGTTAGAGCAGTGGCATTTACCTCACGAGTGGCATTTACCTCACGAGGGACTCGACACTCTTCAAAGCAATATTGCACAACATATATCATATCAACACCAATAATAGCCCAAGCAGAAAACTTATCAGGACTTGGAGCTTTGTCCCCTTTCATACCAAAAATAACTTGTCTGATCTCTTCACTTGTAACTGTCGCACACAGACCTGGAACCATGTCAGAAGGGAGTTTCCTTTTCAATAAGCTTAATAAAACTCAACAGATTCCGAACTCACTTCCTTATCCACTTCCCCCAACAACCTCTTATAAAAATGGGTAAATACAATTTAATATCCAAACCTTTCATTTTAAACAATATAATAGCCAAACCTTTTCGAAAATAATCTAATATCCAAATCATCAACTTTCCGTTCGTTTAACCGTTAGTTGACACTTCAAAAAAGCTTTGTTTTAGGGGAAATTGTCACAATACAACTTTGTTTCTTCTTTTGGCATTGCAGATGACTGAATATTTAGATATTCTATACCATCATGGTGGAGTCATGGACTTTTCGAGTTTGGAACTACGATATGTTGGTAGTTTTTCAGAGAAGATATCGATGGATATTGATGAAGTGTCGTACTTAGAACTTTTTTGAAGTGTCAACTAACGGTCAAACAGAAAGAAAGTTGACGATTTGGATATTAGATTGTTTTCGAAAAGGTTTGATTATTGTATTATTTAAAATAAAAGGTTTGGATATTAAATTGTATTTACCCTGTAAAAATCCACCGCTACCGAACACATACTTTCCAATTCAGTAACCTTTATCCCATCATTATCAACAAGCGAGCTAATTGTGCAGTTGGGCTTTAAATGGAGTTTCATCCCCATTGTTACGTAGCTGGGGATTTAAATGGCGCCCAGGGGATTTTTGTTTGTTTGAGAGAGAGGCCGGAAAAGGATTTCCCGGCGATAGTGCTGGATTTGTGATGTTTGTTGACCTATTTTGTAATGTTTGTATAGATTCGGTTTGTATTGTTTATCATTCTTGTTTATATTTTTTAGTGACACTTGGTACGGTTAGTATGCTTTGTATTGTTTGTCGCTTTATTTTGTAATGTTTGTACGTTTTGTTATTTTGTAATGTTTGTCGGTTTCTTTTGTAATGTTTGTAAGCTTTGTTATTTTTGTACACCATGTTTATCATTTTTGTCAACAATGTTTCTAATGTTTTTATGTCTAAAAAACAACATGGTTGACTTTTGAATGAAACTCCTCTATATATGGATGAAGCCTCCAAAGTCAACCCGGGTGTTTTTTCCAGTTTGTATAGATTGTCGGTCTAGTTTGTCATTTTTGCCGACCGTGTTCGTAATGTTTGTATGTAAAAAAAAACAATCCGGTTGACTTTGGAACGGAGCCCTCTATATTGGGATGGAGTCTCCAAAGTCAACCCAGTTGTTTTTTCCTTTTTGTATGATTTGTATTGTTTGTCGATCTAGTTTGTATTGTTTGTAGATTCCATACGTTTGTAATGTTTGTAAATTTGTTTGTATGTTTTGTCGTTGTAGTTTGTACTAATTGTAAGTCCGATTTGTATACTTCGTAATTATCCATAATACCCAAACTATTCCTGTCATTAATTAAATAGCCCTTCCCATTTTTTAACCGTCAAATTGTTATATCCACTATCCAGATCTAAAAACTGAAAATAACTTAATCAATCAAGTAACTAAGCACCCCTTTAATCACCACATCCTCCCTCTCGTCCAATGGAAAGTTTATGGGCTTAAAATTTAGAGGTGCTCATTGACGCAAATGCACTTCCTGAAATCATGGGCTGGTTTGCGGTGCTTGACGTGGCAAACTCCTATGCGCTCCTATATATATATATATATATATATATATATATATATATATTATTAAACACCTTACGGTATTATAAAGAAACACTTTGGCAGCAGTAGATAGAATTCCAGGCTTTTCCCAGGTTTAACTCGTTTCTACTTTAAACAAGACTGACTCCTACAAATTTCCAGTGGACTGAATAAAGGTTTACAGTCTGCATAACAGAATGAAATCACAGACCCAAATCCTACTACGCAAAATAACCATGACAAATTTTTTTGTACTGCTTAGAAACCATCATAACGCTCATGCTCCAACTCTTCTTCATAATCATAACCATTATTATCGTCTTCTTCGTCAATCATTCCTAAATCATTAATATTGTCTTCCTCGCCTAGTTTGTCATCTTTTCCAGCTGTATGTAGAACAGCATCCTCGTCATCGTCCGAATGAGACTCACTTCTTGGTTTCTTTCCTCCGTTCGTACTCTGCACCGGAAAAACGTCAAGCACAAAACCATTACTTGCAGGGAATGAACAAGAAAGAATTTGATGGAAGAGATTCTTGCCCTAGAGTACTAGTGCTACGGTGGGAAACGGTTTTGCTCATCACTCTCTATCGAATCGCATTTGATCAAATCGGCATAGGGATCAAGCCGGACTAGACCACATGTAATTCCAATCGGCTTCAATTCCAAGGTTACTCTAGAAAATAAAGGGAAAAGTCTACTGGATCAGAAGTTGCTGAACCAAAATTTTCTCATTTTGATCCGATTCTATCACAAAGTGGAACCATAATAGACCAGGACGGACCATGCCCACCCCATCTACTACTGCAATACTGAGAAACCATTATGAAGCTCGATGGAACAAAGACTAGCATTCTCCATCGCATTGTTTAAGAGCATTAACAGAAAGCTTGAAGGAAATAATACATACAGTTTCTTCAAAGAGCTTCTCCATCACAGAAAAGTTTATCTTTAAGCTGAGCCTCTGCAAGCAACTCTATTCAATGTTAGAAACAGAAAGTGGGACAGTATAAATTCATTGGCAAAAAAAGAGAGGGGAGATAGTGGAGATCCATGCATTACAAAGCCATAGACAAAGCTCATCAGCCTGTAAAATCTTTACATACAAGGGTGTGCAGCAGCAAGCATTGGGATGAAAAATAATTCCTGCCTTGCAGCAGTAATATTCTACTGCACATTGAAGTGTAGAAAAAAAAAGTATCATCAATTAAAATACCTTCTTAGTTAACATTCTGTGGACTGATTCTGCAGGAGATTGGGCAGGAGTTAAGTTCTTTGCATCTGCAGCTCGTTTTTTCTGTTTTTCCTGTCAAAGAAATCAACATGGATTCAGGAAATAATTTGAAGATATCACAATTCACAACAAATGAACACCACATCGCACAAGAATTTGTAACGAAAAAGTAGCACAATGATGTAGAAAGTACCTTTTTGGATTTTTCCATAGCTGCTAGAACAGCAGCATAACGTTCTCTGGCCTCGGGCGAACAATTCTCTAAATTAGCCTCCTGAGCTTCCTTCAGAGCTGCTGCAGTTGCTTCTTTAGCAGCTTGTTCCTGCACAAGATATATAAGAGTCGCCACCGGGTACAGAAGTTTGAACACAAGGATATAAAGCTGATCAGCAAACACAAGAACTTTGGAGTCCAAAACCAAAGATAGTAGCAAGCTACTCTCCAGCATTCAAACTATGCTCCCAATGGTATGGTGGCTTCATGGGATCCAATGTAGCAGGAGATTGGTATAATGTGATATACTCAGCATAATATACAGAAGCTAATAATACCGTTACTGTTTCTATTGACTCTGTAATAACTGAAGGAAACCATCACAGATTTGAGCTGGTTTGATTGCCTATACTCGAGAAACTTTGAGGTTGAGAACTTAAAGTGCTAGATGGAGCAAGCGAGAAACTGTAATATTTTTGTTTTTTTTTTTTTTGAAAAGCACAGTTCAACTACCTCGAGATATTCCCAGTTGGCTGCTTCCCACAATTCTTTTTTCAAGGGCTTCTCACTTTCACTGTGAAGGTATTCGTTCACCTGCAGGAATCAGGGCGAGAGACTCAATCGCATTCAGAAATCACAATCAATAAAAAAAATACTCCAAATTCAAAATGACTTTCCAAATTTTCAATTTCCATCTTATGTTGGCCAAAATAGTATCATGGCAACACAGTGATACAGCTGGTAAATGTGCAAGTTTAGCACCTTCAAGGCTAAGGGTTTTAGATGACCTGTGAAAGCAGATTAGAACAATGCTATGGGTAGTGTGAACTTTCACTGTTATCTTTGACGAAATTGCTTTTTTTTTTTTTTCCTTTCTTCTTCTTCTTCTTCTTCTTCTTCTTTTTGGGCATAGAGGAGACATCAAAACACAAACATAAGAAAGGGATAACTGAAATGTTCATTATTCACCTCATCATCATCTATATCAGAGAAGTTGTCTGATCCATCATCATCTGTCCCTTTCGATCTCTCATCATTACCACCCTCATCTAAGTCAGCAGTTGATATCCCTGGAGTATTTAATCCAACGAGATTGAGACAACCAGTGAACATAGCATAATCATCATTCAAATTTGTGTTAAAAGTCAGAAAAGGTAAACTTACCAACTGTTCCTTGATCAACCGATGGCATAATCTCCTCTCTGTAGAAGTCTTGGTCCTCCTAAGTGAAGGAAACAAATAAGGATACGACTAAATGAAATCAAAGCCAATGAAATATAAAAATGATAAAATGGCCAACGAACATAGAGCTACATAGCATCTTGAAGCCAGTTAACAGAAAATTCTCACTTCAGCTATGAAAAATTATACTTCACTCTACAATCTAAGATAACTTACACCCTATAAGTAATGCAAAGGTTCTTTTTACAGAGGGCTGTAGGTGCAATCACACCTATCTGATGCAACAAGAAAGCTATTGGAAGTCTTAGCCACCTTGAGCCACAGTACCCAGTCCCCGAATAAAAGGAGATTGAATAGAAAAAGCAAGAGAAAAAACTCGTAATAGATTTTAATGAGTGCTTCTGCAAGTCATTTTGTGAAAATGACGTACATGCATCAGGCCTACAGAACTTTCAGCAAGCATTTCTATCTCCACATCTGAATTCTTATAGACCAGATAGTGACAACCACAACTAATAAAGCAGAGGTCATGCCAATGAGGACTTCAAATTTCAAATCAATCAAGCCTGGGTAAGCAGTACAGACCGTATTTCCATCATCAGCTTTCTCCATCTTTTCCATTCTTTGCCTCTCAGCCTTTTGGAAAGCTGGAGGATCTGATCCGCCATCAAATCCTATGACCTGAATCAAAGCAGATAGTGGACACATGAAGTATAATCTCTAACTTCCAATACAGTGAAATAATTAAAACTACTTTGAAAAAAGAATTCTTTATCTAGGAAAATGCAAAACCCACAAATGAATGACAAGATTTGCAAAGTCCATGAGCATAATGCTGGCTGATCCCCTTGTGCTTACAAAGCAACTCTCTTTCCTTCATCCCAGAACTTGGTTCAACGGGACTCTCCATGAGCTCCTCTGCCTTTGCATTCAGTTCATCAATCTATATTTTTAAGAAACAAAACAAAACAATACATCGCCATCAAATTAAACAGAAATGAATAAATATATGAAACATTCAGCTGTAACTTTAAGTAGAATGAGCTCAAATTTCAGAACCAAAAACAAGGTGATGTCCTTTGTAATTTAAGAATACAGAAGAATTTTCTCATAATTTAAGTTATAGTTGGAGCTCACACTTAAATAAATCTATTGATATGCTTGAAGATATAAACCATGTGACAATAAAAGCATGAACTCCATCTGATGAAGGTCCCTACTCGTAAAAATTCATAAAGGTATACCCATGTAACGAGATATCATCCATATACAGGTGGAAATAGCCAGAACCATGAGTTATTCTACAGGAAACCTCAAAGAGGTATGAGGACTAAGCATTGAAGGAAGAATTAGTGTTACGAATACAGCTTCACTGATCGCATCTCAAAACAAAATGGTGGACACTTGCAAACAGAAGAAAGAAACAAGTATTATAGCAAGGGATTTGGAAAAGGAACAAGCCATTTACAATATCACGAGTGAGGGCTCTTGCTGGTTTAACTATGAAAATATTAGAAGAATAACACAGCATTACAAACTGAAGTGAGCTATAAATTCAATTAGTGATTCCAAACACAACGTGGAGTATAGAAAAGAAGGTTTGGCTACTCATATCCTGCTATGCACCAAGAGGAAATGGCTCCCTTTGAAATTACACAATACCCTCTTGAAACAGAAGCATGCAGAAAAACCAGCTCAAGGCAGGAAGAAACTATCTCATAGCCTTACAGTCAGAGCAGGACACGTTTCTTTCCATAAACTTCCAAAGATCTTATTTTTCAAAAACTCCCTGACATTGCAAATACATCAGAATGAAAACCTTGTAAGATGAACTCACCATTAAGTCAGCAGATTAAGTTGGATTTTACTGAAAGAAACATTTTCCGAAGGAAAGAACCATTGGTCAGCTCAAGGAAAAAATTTCGAGGATTTTACTGGTAAAAAATATTTTAAAATATATATAACTAACTGCACAAAATGAAGTAAACATCAAGGAGAATGCCAGTAAAAGCATATTATAATTTGGTTCACTACAACACTTGTCATTTTCATAGACCAGTAAACGAAGAAGAACTTTAAGGAAACATACCGTCAAGGCGCTGGATTCCGTATTCTCAAATTCAACCAATCGCTTTGACAGTGTTGCTCCACAAACATGCACCAACCTTAACTGCACAAAAAGTAGCATTACCCTCAAAACAGCTTCATACTGAATATTGACAAAAATAGTAAACAATACTGGCAAGTTTTTCCAAAACGGATTGTCAACCAAAAATCAAACTTAACAGTTTGGATAAACCTTCTCGTAAAGAAAAAGAAAGACCATAAAAGATAGTCCAGAGAGAGGATTTTTCACAAGCAGCATACTGAAATGTCAACATACCAAGTCTGACTAAACATAAAGTGAAGGGAGTCTTTTTTTTAGTTTTTTTTTTTTTTTTTTTTTTAGAGAAAAGTGAAGGAAGTCATTCAAGAAAATAAAAGTGAAAGTAAATTAAGCAGAAGTGTGAATTCATTGGAGAAAAGACATGTAATTTAGAACACAGGTTATGTCAAATGTGGAGCAAGCCCAAGGCAGTGGCATTGTGCGACCAATTTCGTTCTACATGTCTTAACCAAACTCTTTGAACTCCTACGCATCTTCTACATGTCTTAACATAAACATCCAACTCTTCAGCTAACATGACGGACGTCAAGGTGATAATATAAAAGAAAATTTCTCCATGTACCAGAAATCTAATGATTTAACAACAACCTCCCGCCAATCTTTCATCAGAAGAAAACCTCTCTAAACTTCTCTTGATACCCTTATTTATTACAGCGGGACGGATGTTTACCACTAAGAATAATATAACAGTGGCTCGATCTCCAATAGCCCTATTAGCTAGAATATCTAGATTTCCTATGTCAAGAAGGAACAAAAGCTACAAAACGTTTATGAGCATCAATGTAATAGGCATGAAACAACATCAGATGCAGGTAGAACTTACTATGTCGTCAGAAGCAGGTTTATGACCATAAGCATAAGCAGCAATGTAGAGTGCAGCACCCCACAGCCCACTGGGCCTTCTTCCTGTCTGTTAAGTAGTTAAATCAGAGAGTCCTCAAGAATTCTTTAAACAATCATATCAACATAAGAACGACAGTCACCTGCATCCAGTCACGATTCATGCTTGCAATAATGGCAAGGGCAGTATCAGAAATTTCTTTGATTTCACTTTTATCATTTGTCAAGCCTACACAGAAGACAAATCATCATATGCAACTACATGATATAAGTATGGGAAGGGAAGAGACATTCATCAGAACACAACTCAATAGATCGAAGGTCGCCTACATAGTCAGAGAGGTGCAAACAATTTCTTCCACAGCGAAATATCTATTGAAAGTAAACTACACTATTGTTACAAGAACATCAGAAAGCTGTTATGAATACAATAGATCACGACAAGTGCACTGGAATAAGGATTCAATCAAAAAGTAAACCTATATCACCCTTATCAAACGAAAAAGAATGATTCAATCAAAAACAAAAGAGAAGGGGAAAGATTTCAAGACAAGCTGATGAAAACATAGTAATTTAATACATATTTCAATTAGCACTTGGCAATTATTGACTAGAAACTCTAAACTTTTCTAGAGGAACTGAATTGAAGCTAAGCACTTGGCAGGCCAAGCAATAGAGAAACTGAACCTACCAAGAAAGAATTGAATCTATGGTTTTTAGGGTTTTGGAGATACATTTCTATAATATGGTTCTTGATTGATTCCATCTGAATGAATGCCAAGTACATATTTATAAGGAAATACTGGGAAAAGCTCAAAATAATCCTAATACTAAGGGAGTACTACTAAACCTAATAAGTAATCCTAATAATAATTTAAATAATAATTATTAGTGGAAGACCCTGTCTCCCTCATAGACCGAGTTTCCAGCATGAGTCCAATGACTTCTTTCTCTCTTTATTCTCAATGAAACATACAAGGTGTGCCGTCCATTTTAATCTCAGGTACTTGCATTACAAAATTTCAGACCTCATTATAAAAGCCAAAAAAACACACAACATTACAGACTTGCAGTACTCAAAGTTACTTACTGGCTGTATATTTGTGGATGAAAATGGAAGGATCGTGCAATTTTTGACAAATGGGATGCTTTGTCAGGTGCAAAACTTGGCAGAGCTGCAAAAAGACTGCACCTAGCACATAACTGCAATGATATTAATATAGAGAAGTAGTTTTATCCCACTCAACTAAGAGCATGATGAAGATGAAAAGAAAGTAAATCTTCACATGTAAGATCAGGCCCACTCACACATTTATGTGCAAGTAGTTTGAAAAGTCAATTAGTAGATACGGCTTCCTATTTTCCCTGCAAATGAAATAAGGGTCAAACCCATTTCAGCCTGCTGCATTATGTCTTGCTCTTGTTGACAGTGGTTTAAGCATATTTGTTCGTTCAGCACTCTTTCAGCAAATGCAATGAAGTCCTTACCGGCATGCAATATAAAGACATGCAGCTTGTACTTGTTCGGTTCTTCGGCCCCTGGTAAAACCCCGCTCAACTGCTATCTTCACAAGCACGTAAAACAAATTAGAGCAAATAACAGAGTCATGTGTAAGGACCAAGAACAAGAAACATACTCGATAGAAATCCAAAGCTTGGTTAGCTAAGGTGAGATTTTCACCCATGCCTAATCCGTTCTTCATCATTATCAAATCATCTAAAGCTGCACCGTTCAAGCAACAACCAATAAGGGACGATAAATTTGAAACCAAAGAAGAAGAAGAAAAGTGGATTTCAGTGGACCAAGTGAGGACATAGCCTAAAGGGTACAAGTCGACAGAAAGAAAGCATTACCTCTATCAAACAACCTTTGCCTTGAAAAGCTTTCGTCGTCAATGCTTCTGACTAGTCTTCCTGCCAATTGGCTCTTCAAAAATGAAAGAAGACTTAACTTTCAGTGCAAGAATGAGAAACAAGTAGATAGCATTAGAACTAAAGGTGATCAACCTCATCCTAACTGCATCAAGTTTGCGTTTTAAGACAAGAAATGGATGATATGTGAAATATTCAATTCACATATTTTAACTTGCTAAAGTGCTATTTATTATGGATCAGAGGAAAGGAGACACAATGAAAGAGGGGAAGAGAGATAGCACTTGCAGAAACAATAAATATAACCAACATACCACCAAATAGATAAATTCATGGAGTACTACACATAGTTGTTTACCAAGCTTTCCTAGCAATAGTCACTAAGGGAAGAGGGGAAAAAAACATACCGAGTAATATGATCATCAGAACTTACACAGAGTAATTCCAGAACTCAGTACATTTAATCGGAAAATACCCACATCAAGCACTGTAGATTATTTTGGGCAAGAAAGTTTTAACCTGATTTTTGCACCTAACCCAACTATATGCGACATGAAACCCCAGATAATAAGTAGATAAGCGTCAACCTACGAGATAAACACCCGACCCAAATGCTAGACACATTACTTTACAAGTCGGCCAATAAACAGAAGCAGCTAATATAACAGTGCCATGAACCAAATTAAAGTGCACCACTGAGCAAAAGCATTAACCCATACCTGTCCAGCGGAATTTTTAACAAATGTGGCCTCAGTTGAATAATTATCGAAGGTCAAAACTTTTCCACAGTCGTCACAGGATCTGCATTAACACAGAGAAGCAAAAACAGTGAAGCAGAGGATAGAAGCACCAAGACAAGAAGTTAACTCCACAGACCCAGATTTTACATCCACGCACCATAAAACTTCGAAATTTCACAATTGATTAATCAAACGAAATCAACATTGACAAAAATAACAAAGACAGAACGCAGAATAAACGAGTCGAATAACTTACAAGAAACCATTGGAATCCCGGTTCCCGACAGTATTCTTCGCACAGGCCGAACAGTACGGCATTAGGATAAGAAAAGGGAGAGCTCGACGGAAGAACAGAAACTCACACCGGAATCAACTGATCGATCAGGGGTTTATGAATATGGTTGCATTGCCCTAGCAGATGCAACGGGCAACGCAAAATCTCAGCCGGCCGCAACAACTAGCGCCGTCAACTGAAACTCAGTGCACCGAAATTGATATAAAAAAAAAAAGGAACAATGAGAAGAAAGCAATTAGGTCTCGAGCTCGTAGACTGACCAGCCGCCGATTTTTTTTTGTCTTGAAGCTCTTCGGCGAGAATGAATTGAGCTGAGTGTTCTTTCTCGTATCGTATGCAGGGATTCTGGTCAGGGGTAAACGACGTTCAAGGGTTTTCTTATCGAAGCTTGGTGGCGGAGAGAAGGAATTCTACTTCTGTGGAAGTGGGGACGTGACCCTGAGTTCGCGGGGTAGTTCGTTACTTTGGTTTTCCGCTTCTGGCACTAAAATTTAGTTATATACACGTCCAATTAGGTACTTGAAATTTGGTCCACAAGTGTATGAACCAAAAAAAAAACGTCTCTCTCTTCTCTCTATAACGGTCATCTTCTCTGAACCAAACAACGGTTTTTTTCACGTCCCCCTAACTAGGACTTCTCTAGCTCTAGCAAAGAGCCATCAGTGGTTAATCTCAATCACCATTACTCATCCCAAACCTTCTGTTTCCCAAAATGTTGGTGGGAGAACCATTATTCCAAGGGCAGGGAAGCTTCTTCTGCTGATTAGACACCCTGGAAGAGAAAGTAAAGAAGGCATTAAGAAGAGGGAAGTTTGGAAACCTCCAGACGGCGGCAATAAAGTCTCCACCAGCCGAAGCAGAGGAAGGAGAAGTGAATGGAAAGGGGCAAAATCAAGTGCAATATCTGTGATCAGTGACAATACAATCTACATCGATCAAACTAGAGGCAACATTGAGCCAAGAGCCCCTGTTCTGGAAGAGGAAATTATGAAGGGCTTGACAAGAACGATAGCTACCGCAATCAAGAGGAAAGAGAGGCGAACAGGAATGGAAGAAGAAATAAAGGGAGGAGAGATTGGGGAAGAGAAGGTTGTGCTCACATTACTCAGTCTGCTGCCCTTTCTCTCTGTTTCCTACAGATCTCAAATCCCTCTTTTCGTGAGAAGGAAAACCCTCAATCTCAAACCAAACTGCTGTACCTAGCGATGGAATCCATCACAAAATGAAGCAACCATCAACCAAAGGAAGGAGAGCTTGGTCCCGACATCATCCAGGGGCAGGGGGGGCGCCTTGTCCTATCCTCGACTGGTGGAAGAGGGATGTCCATGCTGCTGGGGAAGATGCTAACAGAAAGAAAAGTAGCAGTGGCAAAGGCGGCTGGAGCAGCTCGATACGCGTGGGGATGCTATAGAGAAGTTAACATCCAGCCCACTGAAACCCAGAATTTGTTCTTATTCACATTCAGCAACGCCGAGATCAAAGACAAAATTTGGAGGGACAGACCCTGGAGCTTGTTTAACACACTGACGGCGATTGAAAGGTATAATGGAAGAGGAAAGCCTGAAGATGACCCGATCGAGAAGATGGCAATGTGGGTTCAGATCCATGGGCTACACCAAAATCAAAGGAACGAGGAGAATATGGTGACTATTGGCTCGAGCTATTTCTTGGAGCTGCTGGACCTGGACAGAGCAAGCTTGGAGTACATAGGATACAGGAGGTTCCTTCGCATTCTGGTCGAGGTGGACATCAGGAGCCTGTCCCAACAGGGTTCGATTTTCCTTTTCTTGATGAATCCTCGGGAGTGGAGCACTGCGATGTTATTGACTTCAAATACGAGAGATTGGTGGAGCTGTGCTACTTTTGTGGCAGGATCGGGCATAACTGGCCGACTTCTAGGAGAATGAACGAGGAGAGAAAGAAGAACGGCGTAGCCTACCTGTCGGATGTCTACACAGCGGCTCTCAAGGCTGGGGTTGACTCGCCTCATAGAAGCTCTGCTTCTCAAGCAAGAAACAGGGGAGAGGGAAGAGGGTTGTATCGGAGGAGTGAAGAGGTTGAAAGTAGCTGGGCGGCGGAGAGGGGGGGAGCAACAGGGGGAATCCAAAAATACCCCCTGGTTTCACAATCTAGAGGGTTGAAGAAGGTCATATTAGTAGGGAGGAGCAGGGGTTGATGGGAAGACAGAGGGGAAGGTATAGGGAAGAGATGGGATCCAGGGATATTTCCATTGATTTGGAGAAGGCGGCGGAGGAGCTAGAGTGGGGGCTGAGGTTGGGTGACGGCGGAGGTGGTATGGGATATGGCGGCCAGGTTAGAAGTGGGAAAGAGGGCTGTGAAGTGGAAAGTGGGATGGGCTCCGCTAGCCAGGCCAGGGGAGTACAAACTGCTCTCTCCCTTGGGCCGATGATCTAGGAAGGGAATAAAAAGGCCCATGGCAATCAAGGCTTAGGAGGAGTGGGCCTGTATCAGCATAATGAAAAAGAATTGGAGGAAGAAGTGGGTCGGCCCAGTAAGAAGAGGAAGGGGACCAGCAGGCCCGATTCAGTGGGCTTTTTCAGTTCTGATGGGGCTGTCTACATGGGTGGGCAAGAAGGGGAGAATCGGAAAAAGAAAGGCCAAAGAGGAAAGAAGAGCGTTCAAAGGGGGAGAATATCAGAAGAGGTATTGGGAAATCAGGCAGAAGAGTCAAGGGCAGCGGTGGTTCGCCATAAGCCACCTCATCCGGAATGAGTATAGTAAGTTAGAACTGTAGGGGGTTTGGCCCTCCCCTTACAAGAAGTTATGCGAAGCGTATCTGCAGACGCCTCGGCCCTTCTATTGTTTTTCTAATGGAAACTAGCAAGAATGAGGTTTTCATGGAAGAACAAAGAAGAAACCTCAAAATTTTCCCCAATAGAGAGTATGTTGAACCGGTTAAATCTTCTAGGGGGTTTGCGTTATGGTGGAAAGCAGGTATTAATATTACGGTTTTAAGTAGTGATAGCTACTACATGAAAGTTAGTATAGATATGGGTAGAAAATTTTTCTGTACTTTTGTCCATGCACCCTCTACAGCTGTTAGTAGAAGGGAATTTTGGGAGCAGCTGAGCTCTCTTCGGAGTAGTAGGGATGATAACTGGGTAGTTGTAGGGGATTTCAATGTGGCAGTTTATGATAATGAAAAGGAAGGGAGATGCCCTCTTAGGTACAAGAATGTTGAACCCTTTAAGAAGTTCATATTCCAGAATGCTCTAATTGACCTAGGGTACAAAGGGGAGCCTTTCACTTGGACCAACAAGAGAACGGGCCAAAACCTGACAAGAGTGAGATTGGATCGTGTTCTCTGCTCAACGTCCTGGCGTGCCCAATTTGGAGAGGCAGTGGTCTTCCATGAGAAAATGGTGGAGTCGGATCACTGCCCGATCAGACTTAATCTTCATTATCGAGGAAACAGGAGGAAGAAGACACCCTTTAGGATCGATGAGAGATGGCTGGAGAAAGAAGAATGCAAGGAAATTATGGCCCGAGCTTGGGACCCAGGAGGCCAATCAACTGACCAGTTGAACAAATGTGAAAGAGATTTAAAGGAGTGGGCAAAAGACTTCCATATGAACAGTATCCAAAGGGAGAAGGGAATACTGTCTAGGCTCGAAATTCTCCAACAGCCGCCAAGATCGATGGAGAATGTGGAGGAGGAGAAGGTACTCATAATCGAATTGACAAAGCTATGGAGGGATGAAGAAGCTTTCTGGAGCCAATGCTCGAGAGTTAACTGGCTAAAAAAAGGTGATCTGAATACTTCCTTCTTTCACTCTAGCACTATCCATAGGAAGCATAGAAACAAAATTCTGAAACTCAAAGATGGAGAAGGAAATTGGATTGAGGATGAAAGTTGCCTCAAAAGACTAGCTGAAGAGTTTTACAAAGACCTTTTAAAGGCTAGGGACCCTCTTCCTTTTAACCATCTTTTGGATGGCTTCCCGGAGAAAGTGACTACGGAGATGAACGAGGATCTCTGTGCTTCGGTGACTGATGGGGAAATTAGGAAAGCTGTTTTCTCTTTGGGAGCTCGTAAGGCTCCTGGTCCGGATGGATTCTCTGGAAGATTTTATAGGAGATACTGGGATATCTTAGGAGACACCTTGTGTCGGGAAGTTAGAGGCTTCTTCGAAACGGCCACTATGCCAACTGGATGGAATGATACTTACATCGCGATGATTCCCAAGGTTGACAACCTAGAATTGACAGTCAGTTTCTCTATTCTCTTCATTGGAGAAGCAACTGAATCTTTCAAGCCTTCCCGAGGCATTAGACAAGGAGACCCACTCTCACCTTTCCTTTTCATTCTCATGTCAAACGCCCTTACTTTCTTGATTGATAAGGTGGTGGCGAATGAGAGCCTGAAGGGGATTAAATTGAATGCCAGATGCCCTATGCTCACTCATTGCCTGTTTGCTGATGATACAGTCATTTTCGAAAAGGCCGAGTACCAAGAAGCATAGAAAATTTTAGATCTTATTGGGGACTATGGAGCTATAACAGGGCAAGAGGTTAATATCAACAAATCTTCGGTTTTCTTCAGTGCAAATGTCCCTGGTGACGTCAAAGATCATATCATCGCAAGCATTGGCTTTGCTCCATCGAACTGCCACTCAAAGTACCTTGGAGTACCGACCGAGTGGGGAAATTCGAAGAAAGAAACTTTTAGTTTTCTCATTAAAAGGATGGAAAAAATGGGGGAGGCGTGGAAAAGCCTCCTTCTCTCTCATGGTGGTAAAGAAGTCCTTCTGAAAGCGGTCATACAAGCTATTCCTTCTTATATCATGTACCTGTTCCATCTCCCGAAGGCTCTCACGAAGAGAATGGACTCTCTTCTCAGTAACTTCTTTTGGTCAGGATCTATGCAGAAGAGTAGCCTCTATTGGTGTAAAAAGGAGATTCTGTGTCTACTGAAGGCAGAGGGAGGGTTAGGCTTCTGGAGCTTCAATGATTTTAACCTTGCCCTGCTTGCTAAGCAGGCTTGGCGCCTCCTTACGACCCC